TTTTGTTTTTTGGCTTCTTTTTAAATAGTGAAAGTAGGAAAAGGTGGGAAAGAAAAAGTTGTACTAAATGCTAATGTAATTGATGTTCTCTAAATCTACTGCACTTTGAAGTTATTTGTTCAATATAAATTATTCATGGCAATATTTTGAAGTCATCTTTACATAAATTAATTTTTACACATTTGGCTCTTAAATGGTGATTTATCCCCAAATAAAGTAGTGTGCAAAAGTCCTAAATCACCCCTCTGCTCTTTATATTTTGCTTATAATGAGCCAGGCTTTCTTGTACTTTTTACCCCTCCCAGCTGTAAGTAGCCTATCTGTTAAACACAGTGGAGGCTCTATCATGGTTTCGGGCAGGATTTCAGCCACTGATGTTGGGGATCTTGTCCCCAAAAAAAGTATATTCATATTTGATCCACCATCTGAAAAGAGTCTGATCACAGCTTCAAACTGTAAAAACTCTGTTTTTGCCTTATGGGCCATTTGTGTTAACTGATGTTGGTGTACATATTTCCCACTTTTTTATATTTCCTAGAAAAATATAAGGAACCGGGGGGTGACAAAAAAAACTTTTAAGTATTTCTTTGTTATTTACCCAGAACCCTGCAGATAATAAATCCAGAAGATCTGCCCATTCTGTGGTGATGGTACGGAAAGCCAAGCGGGACACAGACCGCACTTCAGAAAGTGAATGTGACAGCGGGAAGGAAAACAGGAGGCAGACGAGAATTCCCAAATACCATGACAGCGTAACATCGTCGACAACCACCAAAGAGACCAAGAGATCAGAGAGGTGATTCTGCACCAAAAGAGATTTCTGGTGTCATGTTAGCTGCTTTGAAATGCCATCATGTTTACATTTGGACTCCCTGATTTTGTTATAGCAGCTAAGATCCAACTCAGCAAAGCCTAAAACTTGATGAACCTAAACTATGTGAAGACATTTTCAGCACTGGTGGACACTACATGAAAATCAGAGAGTGTACCTCTAAGCAATGATAATCACATTCATACATTCACCAAACAATATGCAGTAATGGGTTTTTCCATATTGTTCATCATGCATCAACTTAATATTATCAGGTATCTTGATTAGGGAAAATCCTTTTACCTCCCACTTGAGAGGGGGTGATAAATTGTCCTCAGAGAGATGATATGTTATAGACTTTTCTCCTCTGTGTTAGAAATTACCGCCGGCAGCTCACTCGCATGATTAATGGCCACGCTTCTCTGGTCAACCCCCTCATCTTACTTCATCATCCACTAATGACATGTGCTTAAGATTCAGAAATTTAACTTAAGTAATCTCACAATAGCCCTCATCAAAAAAAGGTTACTTTGAAATATTACTTCAAAGTTGTTCAGACTTTGCTTCCCTATAAAACTCAGTAAATTTTCTGCTTTGACCTTAGCTGGAGGGTTGTTTAGAATCTATTTTACAGCCAGTTTAATACTTGTGATTTGTTTTATGTGCAGCGATCAGGAGAATCATAAACGGAGGGCTTCAAAGTCTGCCGTTGGATCCAGGACGAAGGCTGGTAGCACAGGGAGTGCAGAGGCAGTGAGGCCAACAAGGAAAGGACCTTTGAGAGCAGCTAAGGCCTCAGGCGATATGAAAACCAGATCCACTGAAGAGGAGGAAACCTACAGGGTACATGTCAGGGACCAAGCAGTAAAGCATAAAGGACACAGGTGTTTTAATTCAAAAAGGGGGGTTTATTGACCCAAAAATATGAAAATATATTTAACAAAGCCAAAACTTAAACAG